GGCCGCCCAGGGGAGCCAGGGAGGCCCCAGCAGGCTGCCCGTGTCCAGCACCTGGGTGCCCCAGCCCTGGCCTGCTGGCCACTGGCCTCTGCCTGCAGGTGGTGTAAGAGGACTTCTGATCCCGCTTCGCTGCCTCCGGGCCGCTGCCCTGCGGCCGTGAGGGTTTCCCCGGCCGGCTGCCCACAGTGCTGGGCTTAGGCCCTGGGGACAGGGTGCCGTGCAGCTGGGGCAGCTGGGAGCCCGGGCGGGCTGACCAGGACAGGACAGGTGGGCGTGGGGCCCTGGGCCCCTCTGCCAGAGCACTTGGCTGCCCTGCCCACCCCAGGCCTCTCCTGGGTGCCGCTGTGGGAATGGCCTACAGCGCCCTAAGACTGGCGAGCTCTGAGGCCCAAGGGTCCCCCGGAGGCCCCAGTCAGGCAGCTCTGGGTCCCTGAGTTCCCAGGATCACGGGCCTGAGAGGCACACAGGTGGCACCAGAGAAGGAAGGTGGACGTAGGTGCAGCAGGAGCTGCCCAGCAGCGCAGGTCCAGGCCGACGTCAGCGGAGCTCCCTGGCCCGGGCCCAGCCCACACTGACCCAGAACATGAGAAGCTCCAGCCCCTCGGCCCCCAGGACAGGGCTCCAGCCTCCCCACCTCTTGGCCCTGAGGCTTGGAAGCTCTCCCCGTGTCTAAACTGGATCCCCGCCTGCGCCTTATTCGGGCCTCCCCTGGGTCCTTGGTGGAGGTTGCTGCCGCCCTCCTGAGAGCGCTCCCGAGAGCCCGCCCACCAGGCCCTGGGCCCCCTTCTAGGAGGAGGCAATGAGGCGTCAGGTGGAAGGAACGCCCCAGAGGACCCAAGCCCGGGCCTGCCTGCGCGGTCCCTCACCTCAGAACCCTTGTTCCCGCACCTCTCTGAGGTGGACCGGCAGCGGCCCTCGGGGTGCTGTGAGGGCTGAGCTCGTGGACGGGCCTGTGGCTGGCGCGGGCAGAGGCTGGCCGGCACGGCAAGCAGTCCTGCCCACTGGGGTGAGAACCAGGGCAGGGCACAGGGAGAGAGCGGGGTCCCCTGGGCCTGCTGGGGGCGGTGGGCATGGCAGGGGAGGTGTGGACAAGGGATGGTCAAAGAAAGGGCATCGCAGGCAGAGGGCACCGCCGGAGCGAAGGCCGAGCAGCAGCGGGTGTGACGGGCCGGGCAGCATGCGGCAGCTGGGCGTGCATGGAAGAGACAGGTCAGGGGGCATCTGCGCCGCCCGCAGGCCCCAAGAGCTCTGACCAGGAGACAGCGATGGTGCGGACAGCCCGGCCCCAGGGTCGTGTGGGGCAGCCGTGTGGCAGGGCACCTACCAGGCCACAAGTGGGGGTGCACCTGGCCAGCAGAGTGCTCCCTTCCACCCGGCCAGGCTCAGAGGGCGGAGGAGCCAGGCCAACGCCCAGTCCCCTGTCGCACCCCAGCACGGGGCTCCCACTCAGGGCGGGAGTGGGGCAAGAGCCGGAGCCCCGGGCCCAAGCCAGGCCTGGGCAGTCTCCAGCGGGGGCCGAAGCAGTGGCCAAGCGAGCGCGAGACTGACGAGTGGGGAAGGGCTCCCACAGCCCCGGGCTCCGCCGCCAGCACCCCCAATCCCGCCCAGGGAAGCCGGGTCCCGGCTCCCGCCCTGGGTGACCTGGGCTCTGGGCACGCGCCAGAAATCGAGGGGACGCCCGGGCAGACGGGAAGAGTGAACCGGCTGCCGGAGCGCCCCAGGCTCAGGCCGGCTCTCAGGGGGTGTGGGGGGTCAGAGGGCCCCGGCAAATGCTTCTGAAATCTCAGCCTTGGAGGCCAGGCCCGGGGCCGGGCAGCGTGGGCTCGATGCCTTGGGCAGGGCCCCTTGGAGGATGTGCTGGGCGGCCCTGGGAGGCTGGGGCTGGGCTTGAACAGTGGCCAAGAAATAAGTACAGTCTGGGCCCCGGGGCTGGGCATTCTCGAGCTCTTTCCTCATTCCTGGCCCTGTGGGAGTAGCCAGACCCCCGCGCTCCGCGCAGCCACCACCGCGGATTTGCTTACCGTCTCGTGGGGAACCGGGGCCTGCTGCCAAACTCCCCGGCTCGGCCCTGGGCCCCACAGGCCCCACTGGCCACTCTGTCAGTGGCCAGGGCTCCCTGTGCTCTCAGATGGGGAAACTGAGGCCACAGGCCAGGGAGCACTGGGCCAGCGCTGCCCCCACCCACATGCCAGGAAGGGGCAGGACCTGGGCTCCAGGTCCGGGTGCATTCCCGCCTGTGCCCCCTCTCCACGCCCAGGCGCAGCACGTCCCCCTGGGAAAGCGCACCTGGTGGCCCCTCCACGGGGCCCTGAGTCTGGGGCCAGTCTCCGTGGGTGCCCGCCGGGCACCGGGGGGGACAGGGGCTGTTTGATCAGTGGTTCCGCTGATGCCAGGCTGCCGGGACAGCGGGCAGTGGCCAAACCGGCCCTGCCGCATGCCTTCCGGCCCTCGGCAGGAATGCCATTCATCCCCGCTTGCTCCCCGCTCGCTCGGTTACCGCAGGCGCAGAGGCCGGGCCTCGGGACAGCACAGCCGGCTGGCCGGCCAAGGGCTGCGAGGCTCCCACGGGCCCCCGGCCGCCTTCCTGCCATGGACAGGCCAAGGGGTGCCCCAGGGCACTTGACCCAAACTTGCCAGGCACAGCTGGACAGACCCACAGGGGCCCTGAGGCCAGACCCAGCGGGTTCAGAAAGGGCAGAGACACAGGGAGACAATGGGCCCTGGCCTGGGGGTCCCCACCCCCGGCCTCCCCCTCCCCCAGAGCAGCCCCGCCCAGCCACTCAGGTCAGTGTGTGGTCTTCCTGTCCATGCAGCCTGAACCCGGCTGTCCAGGGTGGCCTCAGGGCCTGTGTCCCGCCCCCATTGGGGTCTCTGCTGAGTGGGGGTGGCCGGCAGGCGTGACCGGGGTCCCTGCTTGCGACCGGGGCCTGCAGAGAGGAACAACGAGGTCAGGGGGCAGGGGCAGGAGTGAGGGCCAAGAGGTTTGGGGTCTCCTCCCCGTGGACAGCATGCCCCCCCCCCAGCATTCGAGGGCGTCGTGAGGGCCACACACACAGCTCTGACTCCAGCTTTATTGGCGCCGGCGCTCCGCTCCAGAAGGCAGACACAGCCCGTCAGAAACCCACCGGCTCCCCTGAAGCGGGGTGCGGCCACCGCCCGCCCAGCCACACTGACCCCCTCGCCAAGGGCAGGGCCGCCGCTGACAGACGACTGGGGAGGGCGGGGACCGGCGGGCTCCTGGCAGCAAGGACAGTGCGAGGGACTCGGTGGCCTCAGGGCCCCAGGTCCGTTTCAAGCAGGAGGAGGGGCCTGGCTCGGGGACAGTGCACGCCGCCCCCCGTACCCAGTGTAGGTCACAATAATTTAAGACACTATAGACATTTCGACGCTATATGACAATATAAGTTAACCGGGCTCTTGGTCAGAGGACCCCAGGCCTGTGGGCTTGGGCAGCTGGGACACGGGGTGGGGAGAGGCAGAGGGGCCAGGGCAGCCACGGGGCCCTGAGCTCCCGGGACAGCAGACGGGGGAGCAGCCCGCCACGGTCGGGAGCAGCGGGTGGACCCCAGGGCCGAGGCCCGGACACCACAGCTTGGCCCAGGAGCATGCCCAGCCGCGTGGGGGGAGGGCGTCAGAAGCCTGAGGACACATTTCCACAGTTTCTTCGGGAAAACACATACAGGTGGGAGGGGCATGGGGTGGCGAGGGGACCCCTCCTGTCCGGCCATGGGCAGGCCACGCTCTGCCTCGGTTTCCCCGGGGAGGGTGAGACTCTGGTGGGGTGACGTCCCACCCTGAGCCCACTTCCCCAGCTCTTCTGCCCACACGGTTTGGAACCGAAGGGAAACCTGTCCTGGTTCGATCTCCCAGGTTTTGGGGTGAGCCGGACTTCAAGGGAAGGAGGGGCCTGGGCGGGCGTCTGCTTGAGGGCCGGACCCTGGTGTGTGACCCCGAGTCCCAGGTCCAATTCTCTTAGCACCGCCATGGAGGACGGCCCAGCAGAGCACCTGAGAAGCCCTCGCAGGCACCTCTGGGGGTGAGGACCCAGGGATTCCTCAAGGCCTGGGGTCCCCCAAGCCACCAGTGTCCCAGGAGGTGTCTTTTGGGGCCAGAAGGCCTGGGCTGGACTTCAGGATGCCTGGACCAGGCCTCCTCACGGTGCAGGTCTTGGACAAGTGCTGGAGTCACTCTGGGCCTCCATGGCCCCATCTGTCAAACTGGGCAGCCCCCCCCTGAGCCAGCCGGCCGCCAGCCCACCCAGGACCGGGCCCACCCTGAGCTCCAGCTCACTCCAGGGTCGGGGAGCCAGGTGGGGCCCGGGAGGGCGACAGCGTGGGAAGGACTCATCAGTCCTGGGTCCTGACTCAGGCCATGTTGATTCACTTGATTCGATTCTCAGAGACAAGGGGAGGCCTGGAGGCCCTGAGTGTGGCCGGGACCGTGTTGGCTGCCAAGCCCCATCCAGCTCACTTGGGGGCCCCCCGGGGCAGGAGCAGCAGGGCCCGGAGGGGCGGCAGAAGGCGGCCCAGGGCCTGCTTGCACGCAGTGGAGTGAGGACCGGCCATGCCCGCCGGCTTTGACACTAGGAAAACATAAATAACTGTGTGGCCGCCGGCGCAGCGCCCCCGGGCCGGGGGGGTGGGGGGGGTGCTGCAGTCTCTGAGGAGCGCCCCTGGGTCTGGGCCACCAGGCGGGGCGGGACACACAGCGTCGTGGCATCACTTCCGGGGCACGTGCGTGTGCCCTTCAGTTCGCGTTCCCAGAGAGAAGGGAAGGGCTCTGGCCGGGGCGTGGGCCCGTCCTGCCGCAGGAGGTGACCGACGGGCAGGACAGCCCGGGGCGGGGGCCGGGCCCGGAGACCCCCAGCTCGCCAGGCTCCTGCGCCCACACCAGCGCCCGGAGAGGGTGTGCAAAGGCCGTGCGGTGGGGCGGGCCTCCGCGGCGCTGCCCGTGGGCAGGTGAAGACGAGGCGGAGCCCAGGGGCCCCTCGCAGGTGAAGCCCCGGCTCCTGGCAGGCGGGCCCGGGCCCTCGCGGCGGCTCGCTCACTTGCAGGTGAAGACCTCGGTGCGCTCGCTGCAGGTGTTGCACTTGACGAAGCAGCACCAGTGGAACTTGCAGTTGCACTGCCAGACCTTGGTGTACTGGTGGGTGTTGTAGCCGCGGCCGCAGCACATGGTGTCGCAGCCGTCGGCGCCCGGCGACGTGCGGTTGCACAGGCGGCCCTGCGTGCCCACGCTGCCCGTGGCCGCGTCCTCCTCGCAGTAGTTGGGTGACTTCTCGATGTACACCAGGTCCGTCTCCATGGGCTTCTGGTAGCTGCGCAGCTGCTTGATGCGCAGGAAGGTGGGCTGCCGCAGGCGGCTGGCGCGCACCGCCTCCACCTGCACGGCCGCGTTGTACTTCTCCTTGAGCAGGTGGCCCACCTCCCGGAACTTGGGCAGCGTGGTCCAGCACGTCTTGGTGGTGCAGGAGCCCGACACGCCGTGGCACTTGCACTCCAGCTTCATGCGCTCCTCCAGGACCTGGGGGGCACCGGGCAGAGCTCAGCGTGGGGGCGCCGGGCCCCCAGCGCCCCCAGCCAGCGCCCCACCTCCCGCCCCACCTGCCTGCGGCAGCCCACCTTCCCGCGCATCAGGTAAATGTTCCCCCTCTCGAGCCTCAGTCTCCTGCTCTGTCCAGGGGGCAGCTCACCACGCGTCCCCACTGCTGGGGACACGGTCAGAAGCCCAGAGGAGTCCAGAACGTGGCACGTTGATCACAGTTGGCTAAATTCTCACAACTACCCGGCAGGGAGCTGGGTCCGCGCGGCGGTGAGGAAACTGAGGCCCGGCCGTGGGGCTTGCGCCAGGCACAGCCCAGGTGGCGAGTGGGGGCTGGCAGCCAGCCAGGCTGGGGGAGGCGCCTCCCAGGCCCGGCAGCAGCAGGTGCTTAGGAAGGGGAGCCCGCGCCCCGTCGCCGCGCCTGCCCCCCTGCCAGGGCAGGCCTGGCCCGTCGCGGCATCGTCACCGGCATGCCCGCGGAGCGGCCCACCTTGGCTGAAGGACGGGCTGGGCGGCGGGAGGGGCGTGCACGGGTCAGCGCGGCCCAGCCGTGCGGTGCTGGGGGCCGCCGCCGCGTGTTCTTGCTCCCCGGCTCCGCTGGGGCCTCGGTGGGCACAGCCTGTGTTTTCCTTGGACCTCCCTCGTGGCCCAGGACGGCCGATTCCCAGAGCCAGCCCTGACCCCGGGTACTCATTTACCCGGATCGAAAGGCCCCTGCCAGCCGGGCCGGATGAAAGATGGGGAATCATTAGCTGCCGCCCCTCAGCTGCAGAGGGGCCATTTGTCAGCTGTCCAGGCTCACGCTGGCCTCGCCATGGTGACCACGCTCTGCCCCCCAGTCAGGACCCCAGCCCTGGCACACGCGCGGAGACCCACGGGAATGAGTGAATGAATGAATAGGAGAGTGAGGAGCCTCCCACAGGGCCGGCCACTGCCCATTGCTTCCCGGTCCCAGCCTCAAGGGGCCCCAGCTTCAGAGGACACGCCTTGGCTCTCAGTCCTGGGTGGGAAGCAAGGACATGACGCGCAAAATGCCGCGCACAGGCGGTAGAGCCTGATGTGGTCAGGCCGGGAGGCTTCCCTGAGGAGGTGTCCTGCACTGGGTGCCCGTGGAGGAGAGGAGCCCACCTGACGGAGCAGGGGCGCGGGAGCAGGGTGGGCAGCCCACAGCAGGAGTGGGCCTGGGGCGGTCACTGACACCACAAGGGAAGATTCAACCCCAACGGTGAGCATCTGGGCGGGGCTGGATGGGGGCCCGCTGTGAGGACCACAGAGGGGGGCAGAGGCTGGGGGCTCCATCGGGCAGCTGCTGGCTGGGCCCCGGGCCTGTGCCTCTCCTGGGAAGGGAGCTCAGGTTTCAGGATGTGGGTTCCTGTCCGTCTCCAGCGTCCTCAGGACAAGAGCGAAAGCCCCCGCTGCCCAGGAGAGCTGGGGTGCCGAGGGGCCCTGCCCAGAGGAGAGGGGGCTGAGCGGGGCCCCTCCCCCGTAGGCCGGGAGTGGGGCAGGGGTTCCTGGGAAAGGCCAGCTTGGGGTTCTCTCCGCAAACAGGGCAGGGCCCGGCTCAGACGGGGCTCTGTGGCCCAGGGGGGGCAGTCTCGGGGGTGAGGGACCGAAGTCCAGAAGGGGCCTGGAATCCTGCAGGGCCTGGGGCCAGATGCCGCCCTGGCTCTAAGCCTGGGGACCCGCCCTGGTGTTACCCCCCATACTGCTCATTTCCAGACCCCTGGGGGATCCAGCCACCCCTTCACCCTCTCACCCCGACCCCCAAGGACATGAGGGCCATGGCCAGCCTGGGAAATGCTTAATAGAGGTCCCCAAATTCAAGTCCACTCAGAACCTCACAACGTGAGCTTGTTTGGAAATTGGTCTTAGCAGATGCCACCAAGAAGGATCCCCTGGATGAGGGCGGGTCCCAGAACCGAGGGGACCTCTCTGGGGTCAGGGTGGGGACAGGGGACTGTGGCCCCAGGGGCCTCCCACAACCTCTCAGTCCTGCTGCCCACCAGCCGGGGGCCTCGGGATCACCCTCTGCCATTCCTCGCCTCCGTTTTTGCCCCTCTGAAACAGGCACAGCAGGGCTCCTATCAGAACTGCTGGGGGGCGCGGGAGGAAGGGGTGACCTCCAGGCCCAGCGCTGCCCACTGCGCGCACGCACGCCCCTCCCTCCACGAGGATGGAGCCTGATGCTGCGGAGGTGGCTGTCCAGGGGCCCCTGCCTGCCTCACCTCCCTCCCTGCCCGCAGTACCTTCCTGCCCGCCTCATTGTTGTGCAGGTTCATGAGGCGCCGCGCGTTCTTCTTGATCTCTCGGGCGTCCACGAAGCGCCGGGAGAAGTCGATGCCGTAGCGCACGTCGGCCGAGCAGCCGCCCCACTTCCAGCCCTCGGCCTGGTTGTAGTAGCCCTGCTTCTCGCGGTCGCACCCGCAGTTGCTGAGGTTGCCCTGGCTGCAGGCAGCAGTGACGGCGTGGGCCACGCCAGCAGCGGTGATGGCGTAGGTGAAGGCGGCCTCGCGGCTCCCTGGGGGGAGAGGTTGTGCGGTGAGGCCCAGCGGCTCTCCGCCCGGGGCGTCGGGGGACCCGTGCTGCACCCTCTCTGGCCATGGGCGCCCGTGTGACCCCGGGATCAGCACCTCCCGCTGAGCTTCCAGTTCAGCCGAGCCCTGCGCCTTGTGGGCTGTGAGGGCACAGTGCCTGGTGCAAGGTGGGCACTTAAAGCATGCCGTGCCCTGCCAACAGCAGGTAGGCTGGTCCACTCTCTCCCTAGCCCCAGAGCCCAGGGAGAGGCCTGTCCCCCAACCCGGGAGGGCACAGGGCAGAACGGATGTGACAGTCTGAGCCCCTGCTCCTCCTCGGCCAGCCGCGAGCCCTGATCCTCATGAACCAGCCCCCAGGACGGATCTCGGGGGCACCCACCCCAACGGACAGGAGCCAGGCAGCAACCACAGTGCTCACAGCCTCCCTCCCCCCGCCCCACGCTCTCTGTTGCCGCCTCCCTCTCCCTCCCACGCCCCATCACCAGGCCCTGGCCTCCCGGGCCCCTCCCCTCCGTCACCTCCACTTGTCTCAGGGGCCCTCAATTGCCCAGACTCGGTGCCAGTCCTCCTGGGCTCCCCACCCCAGCCAGGAGGGCTTCCTGGAGGAGGTGCCATCTTAAGCAAAGTGAGTCTTAACAAAAAGTACAAGTTAACGCCCTGTGAGTGCATGGGAGGGTGTGTGTGACTGTGGTGTTTCTTAGTGCGCCCGCGTGGGGGGGTGTGCGGGGGGTGTGCAGCGTGTGCACAGCGTGTGTGGCAGGCGCGTGCACCCCTCGGGGGGAGCAGCAGGAACGAGGGTGCAGGGGTCACTGCCAGAATGAGGTCAAGAGCAGCGGGAGAGGAGCAGGCGCGGGAGAGCCGAGAGGCCGTGTGCCGCCGGCCGGGGTGCCCTGTGGGCTTTAGGGGCGGGGCCCGGAGGGGTGCAGGAAGCGGCTCAGCAGAGCTGTGCTGGCCGCCCACCGCCGGCCACCCTCGCATCACTGCCGGGGCCCCTCCGGCCTCCACATCTGTCCTCGGACAGCCCCACACAGAGGAGGAAACCGGGGCGCGGGAGGCGATGACACAGGAGGTGGGGCGGAGGGAGGGACTCGGGCCCCGGGGCTGCCCGCGGCATGGCCCCGCTGCGGCTAATTGACCGCGGGCAGGAGGACACGGGGAAGAGGCCCTCATGGCGAGGGGAGCGGCTGATTCAACCCTCTGTGGGCCTGGCAGGGGGCCGGCCGGCAGGTGAGGGGTTCCCCCAACAGGGGCGGGGGAGGGTCTCCCCCACAGCCATGGATGACACTGGGGGCTCTCCCAGGGACCCGCCTCCCCGCCGCGGGCCTCCCTCCTGGCCGCGCCGCGTCCCGCTCAGCGGGGTTACTCAGGCTTACTCACCGCTGCTCCCGCTAATTCTTGTTTTATTTGGTTGTAATGAGCCAACCCTGCACCTCGCCATGGAGACGGGGGTGGGGGGGGGTGCGGGGAGGGACTCCAAAGAAGCTGGGGTTTGGGAAGAACCGATGGGCATCCTGGGTTGAGGGCTTCCCGCTCAGCCCAACTCTGTGCAGCCCACACTGACAGCAGCGGGTGCTGCACCCCACTTCCCACCCCTGCTGCAGACTCGAGGGGCTTCCTAACTCGCCCGGGTCAGCGTGAGACCAGACACGGAGGGGACAGTCCCATCCCAGCTCACTCGGGTGCAGACTGGCCGTCCTGGGGCACTGCCCACTGCCCCCTCCAGGGAGAGAACGGGGGCGCACAGGTGCAGGGAGAGCGCCTCCCGCCTCCGGGGGCTGCCTGGCCTCCGGATGGCCTTGAGTCCAGGACTGGCCCCACCTGACTGCTCCACAGCCAGGCCGGGCGGGGCTGCCCATGCTCATCCCGCGTAGAGGACGGGTGGCTGCTCTGCCCGGGTGGCGACGGCTGCCCAGGCCAGGACGCAGCTGCTTGTGAAGCCGGGGGGCAGGCACCCTCCTCCCAGCTTGGCCAGGTGCCCCTCGGGGTTCGGGCGCGGAGGGCGGGACCCATGGCTGAGTCTTTGGGCCCCTCCAGCCTGGTTCTCGGCTGCGCACAGGGCCGGTCGGGGCTGCGCACGTCGGGGGCCTGCGAGACAGCGCGGCCTAAGCCCAGGCCTGCCCACCTCGCAGTGGACGCAGTGGCGTCTCCTCAGGGAAGGGGACTTGCTCAGGTGCGGGGCCCCGCGGGAAGGGGCGGGCGTGGTCTGGGGCAGCTGCCTCCGGCCTGGAGGGCCTCTTGGGATGCAGCGTCCTTGGGCCTGGTCCCCGGCCGGCAGGTCCCCGGGAAACGCCAGGGCAGGTGGGCCTCGCCCACACCCAGCCTGGTGAGTCCCAAGAGGGCACAGGCCTGGCGCCAAACCCACGTTCCCAGGGCGGCCCTGCCCGGCCCCCAGCGGGCGCAGGTGAGCGCCGTTAGCCCCGCAGGCCCGGCCAGCTGTGGGTAAGCAGCAAGTGCTGGGAGGCGGGCGGCGTCGGGAGAGGAGTCTCGCTTTGCTGCAGCCCCAGGTAAGTCACAGACCCTCTGTGAGCCCGTGTCCCTCCACCAAGAGGGGCTCAGAGTCCTCCTGCCATCCACAGCCCCAGGAGCAGCCCCAGAGAAGCAGAGCAAGGGGCCTCACCCCCGCCATAGCAAGCCGGTGTCCATAGCAAGCCGGCAGGCCCCTCCGGGGAGAGCCGGCGCGGGGAGAGCCACAGGCCGCCTGGCGTCTCTGCTTATCCAGAGCCTCGACCCTGGCACGCGCCTGGTCAGCCGGCCCAGCCGGCCTCCACTGCACTGCATTCTGGGCAGTCCGCACCCGCAGGGACCTCTGCCCTGTGGGTGAACCGAGGCTGCCAGGTCCCTCAGGCACCCAGGCTGTTCCCTGTCCTGCACGTTGTTCAAGCCCAAGCCCCGGCTGACCCTGCTGGATGCCAGACTCAGAGGGACCAACAGCCCCTGCTCGTGCCACCCCCTCAGCAGTGCCAGCCTGGCCAGCGCTTGGGAAGAGGGCCTGCAGGACACCTCACTGACCCTGAGGAGGGTGCTGGGGTGCTCCTGGCGGGGACAGGTGTGCCATCCAGGCAAGACAGGAGTCTCAGAGCCCCCAGGGCAGCGCCCCGTGCCCCCAGCGATCCTATATGTCCCCTCCGGCTCCCCGGCTCCCTGCCACTCCCTAGTGTCCATGGGGCTGGCGCGCCATTTTGGAAATCCTAAAACACCGTGATTGAGCTCTTGATGCCCTGAGTAGCCACAGGCCTGGAGGGACAGCACGCTGTCCCACTGCCCAGGGTCAGTGCTTTCCACTCAGTGCAGGGAAGGGCCTGGGGCCTCTGAAGTCACCCTGTCCTCAGCAGGGGACACGCGACCAGTCACACAGAGGCGGGCCCGGGCCTGACCTGCGATGACTGGCGGGTCACACAGCCCAGGAGGCGTCCTGCAGCCCGACCCGCACATTCACGTCCGGATCCCACACTGGCCCGTCAGACAAGTCAGGGGCCCTTTCGTGTCTCAACGTCCCCAGCTGCCACGTGGTTCCTACGTGACGGCGCGGGGTGCCGGAGGTGGGGGTGGGCAGGCCTGGCCCTGCTGGGGGGAGGGGAAGCCGGGCTTCGTGCCCCGCCCCCGCGAGGCGGGCTCCCCGGGTGCGGGTCTGGCGTCCAAGTACACTCCTCGGTGCGTGTCCCCACCTTGCCTGTGACACACACCTGGGCTCCACACCACCGTCATGTCCACGCGTGGGGCTGCCGCTGTTTAACCTCCCTGCCCTTGCCAACATTTCCTTGCTCTTCTTTAAAAAATGTGGCCTTTTCTACAACTCGGCACAGGCACGTGTCACGGGGCCCCTCAGAGCCTCGCGTCACTGGAGCGGCTCATCGCTGGGGGGGGCACGACGCACCCAGCTGGGCGGGCAGCCACCATCATGCTTGCCGTGTGTTACCCACACAAGCGTCACTAAGTGAAGTGTGACTGTGACAAAAGGCAAGTAACCCAATTAAAAATGACAAAGGAGCCAAGGAGACACTTCTCTAAAGATGGTATATAAATGGCCAAATAGCAATGAAAAAGATATTCAACATCATGAGCCCTCCAGGAAATGCTAATCAAAACCACAGCGAGGTGGCTCTGCGTGCTGCTAGGGAGGGCTAAAATACAGACAGACAGTAGCAAGTGTTGACAAGGATGTGGAGAAATCAGTCTTCATACACTGCCTCTACAGCCACTGTGGAAACAGCCTGGTTGTTCTTTAAAAGGTTAATCAAAGACTTCCAGGACCTAGCAATGTCCTTCCTTGGTGTGTCCCCAAGAGAAGCAAACATATGTCCACACACAAAAAAAAATGGTCACAGCAGCGTGATCTATAATACCTCCAACACAAGTGTCCACCAGCAGATGAGTACAGCAAAGGTGGCCTCTCCGTGTCATGGAATATTACTCAGCCATGAAAAGGAAGGAGTGGCCAATTTACAACAACGTGGATACACCTTGAAAATATGATGCTGAGTGAGAGATGCCGGCCACAAAAGACCACCTAGTATGAGGCCACAGGTATGAACTATCCAGATTAGACAAATGTAGGCACGAAGCTGATGGGTGTGGCCAGAAACAGGGCACCCGCCAGAGCCACAAGGAGTCATCAGGGCAGAGGGGGACCACGAGGGCCCTTTTCAGAGGGGGTGCCGGAGGTGGGCCCTGTGAGACGAGAGAAGTGAGCCATGCAAAGGCACAGGGAACAGTGTTCCAGGAAGAAGGAACAGCAACGCTAAGGTCCTAAGGAGGGAATGAGGTGGTGCTGCTGGGCACGTGTGTGGTGCACACATGATGGTGTGTGTGCGTGTTGCAGTGCCTGTGTGTTTTGCATGGCGCATGTGTCTGTGCATGGTGCACTCGTGTGTGTGTGGCATGTGCACTGCATGTGCTCTTGTGTCTTCTCTCTGCCCCGCCTACCCTGCCCTCTGTCCCTGTCTGTCCCTCTGTGCCCCCGGCCCCCGCCCGCTGGCCACCACCC